GAGACTTATAAAATGCTCCAGATCCTGAGCTTGGTCAGGACACTTATGGCCATGGGCTGAATCCTGGCCAAGAAGATACAATGTGGGCTCACCTCTATGTGAATGCGACATCATTTCTCGATTTTGGAATGGCTGCTGGTGCTATTGAACTGATGGAAGTTGATCTCCAAGATCAAAGCGGTTGGAAGCATGTTCAAACTGTGACCTCTGGTTAGCAGTCAGAGCATCGAGGGACATGTTGGGGTCAATTTGTGTAGTTCTTCGTGAATCAATGGGCCAATTGTCTATTAAACCAATAGACTTCCCCATTGCATCAAGAGACCTGTTTGGTAACGGGTTAACTGGTGTACTACTACTCTCTAGCTCAGACCACAACACACCAAACAGGTGCAACTTAGTCTCATTCTGATTTCGAGTAGCAGCCTTACTCGATTCAACAGGAATAGCAGGATGGCCACTAAGTTCCATTAAAGCATCATGCATACTTGTAGAGGACTTTCCCGAAGCATAAATCGTGCTAGGCAAAAGGGAGGTTAGCTAGAGTAACCTATTTTTTTTAAATAGCTATAATGACCTTACTATTTTTTACTTGCTGAAATAACCTACTCTAGATTTTTTTTCATAATACCAAAATTGGCCTTCGCAGACTCTACCAAAATATTGGTAGACTCTACAAAAATATTGGAAGACTCTACCGAGACATTGGTAAACTTTGTCGAGATATTGGTAGACTAGCTGACTGAGATATAAGTCTACTAACATTTTAGAAGACTTTTAAAGCTACTAGAAAAACGTAGTCTCTGTCGAAACATTAGTAGACTTTACTGAGGTATCAGTAGTCTCTGCCGAAATATTAGTATACTCTACTGAGGTATCAGCAGACTCTGCCGAAACATTGGCAGGTTTGCCGAAACATTGGTAGACTGTGCCGAAACATTGGCAGACTCTGCGAGACTCTGCCAAAGCTTTGGTAGACTCTGCCGAGATATTAGCAGAGTCTGCCAATATCTAGAAATACGCAGACTCTACCGAAACATTGACAAACTCTACCAAAATATTGGCAGACTCTGCCAAAACATTGGTAGACTCTGCCAAAACATTGGTAGACTCTGCCGAGATATTAGCAGAGTCTGCTGGTATCTTGAAAAGGCAGAGTCTGCCAAAACATTAGTAGATTCTGCCGAGATATTGGTAAATTCTACTAAGGCATTAGCAGACTCTGCCGAGGTATTGACAGACTATAACAAGGCATTGGCAGACTCAGCCAAAAAATTATAGATTTTACAAAAAAAATAATAATCATAATCTGCAAAAAGATTACAGATTTCTGGAGTGTTTTGTATTTTGTTGATACTGGTTTTTAAATTTTGTATCTATTTTTTTATTTGAAATTTGTTTTTCA